CTCAACCCCTAAACCCTCAACCCGAATGCCCGTAACCGGAAACGCCCTAAGACCCAAAAGCTTGAAGTACATAGGCTTTCCTGAGAAGCAAAAGTGTTGGGCATTTCTGATTAAGGAGTTTACTTCAAACTGTACAAGGAGATAAGGAGCCTGGCTATGACTTCATCTATATGGGAGTTTCCGAAAATTAGGGTATCCTATTTGGGGGTCCTTATAATAAGGATCCTACTATTTAGGGTACTATATTAGGGTCCCCTATATTCTGAAACCCCCATATCCCTTACGCACGGGGTAGCCGGGTCTCTCTGGGTGCGCAGGCCGTCGAGGCAGCGTGCATGTCCCAGTTTGCTGGCTGGGGCGCACCCTGGCCTTGCAGATGCGGGTTTCGGGGTTTAGGGTGTAGAGTTTAGGGTGTAGTGGTTTAGGGTTCAGAGTTTCGGGTTTCGGGTTTAGGGGTTTAGGGTTTGGAGTTTAGGGTTTAGGGTTTAGGGGTTTAGGGTTTGGAGTTTAGGGTGTAGGGTGTAGGGTTTAGGGGTTTAGGGTTTGGAGTTTGGGGTGTAGGGTTTGAGGGTTTAGGATTTAGAGTTCGGGGTTTAGGGTTTAGGGGGATAGCCGAAGGACTCAGGCTTGGTACCTTCGGGTTTAGGAGGTTTAGGGTTTTGGGTTCAGGTCCTGCCTTACCCTTAACAATTTTAAGCTAAACTATGGGTTAGCTGGTATGCTCCTATTTATGGATAGTGCAGGCTCGTGTCCATCCGCAGTAATGACTGGTATGCCCGGCACTTTTAGGGGTTCAGCCGTCAGGAAGGCAAGGTTAGCGGTTTCTTTGGTGCATACAGAGCTGGGAATTTGCTAAGGGTGTGGGGAGTGTGCTCAATAATGTAGGGTCGGCGAGGATGGAATGACCCTAAACGCTGAAAAGCTCAACTATAAACCCTTAACCCTTAAGTTTTACACCCTAAGCCCTCAGACCCCCCTGAAGAGTCTTCATCAGTACACAAGACACTCAATCCGAGCACACACGCCGACCTCCTGCCAAGCGCAAAGCACCGGAAGTGTCAGCAGCAGCCGCTTGCTCCCCTGAGCCCCCAGAGCCGGCGTATGCAGAGGCACTGCTGCCTGGTACTCCTTTGGAGACTAGGAGTGGCAGCTACATCTATGATGGTCCCCCCAGTACCTTCCATGACTGGAAATTTAGGACGTCCATGAGGCTTAAACTTTACGAGGTCGCGATACGCGCCAACATGCGCCAACTGTCTTATTGCTTTCTTCCTTTCTCTTCTTTGCCGGCCCTTCAGGAGATGCGCGATGTCATGAATGCCCAGGTGCCCGAAGCCGTGCTTCCGCTCGACCAGCGACTTGCCGCCACGCCAAGCCAGCTGATGCCGTCGACTACATCAAAAATCCTCGGAAGAGAAACACCGTCACAGTCTCTGCTTCGGTGAAGAGAGAGAATGGGCAGAAACTTCGTTCCAGCATGGATCTACCTGAGGCTACTGCAACCTGCTTTTTTGGTAGGGGCTGCAAGCAAACAAGTAGGTTTCGGTAGTTGGAAGTAGTGTTTTTTGTGTGGCTTTAGGCCCTCAGGGCTCTAGGCCTCTTGGGTTTCAAAGGCGTGGGGATTTTAAGGTTTCGGATCTTCTTGCGATCTCGGGTCATCCCCAAGCAGGCAGGCAAGCAGCCGTCGCTGTGGCAAGCGAAAGCGGGTGTTCACCACGAGAGTCGCCCTGAGGTAACCCGACAACTTACATAGCCCATAAAGGCATGTGATTACTAAGTACTATGACTGATTAACACCCTAAACTATAAACTTTAAACCCCAAACACCCTAAGCCCTAGAACCCCCAAGGGAGCAAGCAAGCACGAGAGAAGTTCTCTCAGGTCGCATCACCCTCGTGCTTGAAGCTCCATCGCCAGCCCCGAGCATGCCCCAAGCTCTCATGAACAGAACCCACGGTTTAGGGTTTAGGGTTTGGGGTAATTCGAGAAGTAACATACCATAACTCCCGCAACCTAGAGCATATAAGGTAGCAAGTGTACGGCAATGCCTTTAGCCCCAAACTCTCAACCCTGTGCCTACACCCTAAACTCCTAACCTTGAGCCTTGAACCCTGAACTTTAATCCCCCCTAAACCCTAAGCACTAAACCC